CACTCTTGTGGGACACTCTTGTAGGACACTCTGGTGGGACACTCTTGTAGGACACTTTTGTAGGACACCCTTGTGGGACACTCTTGTCGGACACTCTTGTGGGACACTCTTGTAGGACACTGCGGCGGCGCACTGTTGTAGGACACTCTGGTGGGACACTCTTGTAGGACACTCTTGTGGGGGACGCCTGTAGGACACTCTTGTAGGAAAACTTTGTGGCGCACTCTTGCGGAACACTCTTGTGGACAAGTCTTGTGGAAAAGTCTTGTGGGGCAATCTTGCCCTCGTAGAATACTCTTGTGGGGCAACCTTGCGGAACACACTTGTAGGACACTCTTGTGGGACACTCTTGTGGGACACTCTTGTGGACACTCTTGTGGGACACTCTTGTAGGGCACTCTTGTAGGACACTCTTGTGGGGCGCTCTTGTAGGACACTCCTGTCGGACATTCTTGTGGGACACTCTGGCGGAACACTCTTGTGGGACACTCTTGCAGGGCACTCTAGTGGGATACTCTGGTAGGCCACCCTTGTAGGACGCTCTTGTCGGGAATGCTTACGGGACACTGTTCTGGGACACAGGACACTTCTATAGAACGCTCTTGTGTGACCCTTGTAGGAGACTTTTATGGGGCACTCTTGTAGGATACTCTTGTCGGCCACTCTTTTCGAACACTCTCGTGGCCAAGTCTTGTGGGACTCTCTTGTGGGACACTCTTATAGGACACTCTTGCGGAACACTCTTGTAGGACACTCTTGTCGGACACCCTGATGGAACACTCTTGTGGGACACTCTTGGAGGCCACTCTTGCCGGGCACTCTTGTAGAACCCACGTGTGGGCCTCTCTTGCGGAACAGTCTTGTAGGACACTCTTGTGGGACACTCTTGTGGGGCACTCTTGTCGGACACTCTCGTGGGACACTCTTGTAGGACACTCTGGTGGCGCACTTGTGGGACACTCTTGTCGGGCACTCTTGTGGGACACTCTTGTAGCTTGTAGGACACTCTTGTGGGGCACTCTTGTAGTGGGACTCTCTCGCCGACCACTCTTGTGGGACACTCTCGCAGGCGACTCTTGTAGGACACTCTCGTGGCATGGACGCTCTTGTAGGGCGCTCTTGTCGGGAATGCTTACGGGACACTGTTCTGGGACACTGGACGCTTCTATAGAACGCTCTTGTGTGACCCTTGTAGGACACTCTTGTAGGATACTCGAACACTCTTGTGGACAAGTCTTGTGGAACAGTCTTGTGGGACAATCTTATGGGACAATCTTGTAGAACACTCTTGTAGGATGCTCTTGTGGGACACTCTTGTGGTACACTCTTGTAGGATACTCTTGTTCAGCGGCTCTTGTGGGACACTCTTGTGGCACACTCTTGTGGGACACTCTTGTCGGCCACTCTTATCGGACACTCTTGTGGGGTACTCTTGTATGAGGGTTTATTTCCCTCATGCAAAACCATGCTCAATCATATCGAAGGTCATCTCATCCTCAAGCTTGTCAGCTTCATTGACCAAAACAGTCGGAGCTGAGTTTCGATAAGTAGCATGGAAAGTTGGGCCTTTCACCACGAAGAGGGACATACTTGTGAGCGTGCGGCGTGGGAGCTCGCTTTCTGCAATGATGGGGATGCAAAACCTTGAGAGTCAAAGAGCACAATGTTAACTGAGCTCTACAACAAGCAAGGCGGACTACGGATGACTGACTAGAAACAGGCGGTGCGCATATATTGCGTAGAAACGCCTAGGGGGCATAGGACCCTACAAATCACGCACAGGGGTGGGGGCGGGTGGGGCGCCAATGCGAGGAAGGTGAGGAATTGGGACTGCGTTGAATTGAGCAAGAAAACGGGACACATGTTCGCCGTGAAACCACGGCGAGAACACATCTTTTTAAACGTGGCCCACGAATCCTGTCCCTCGAAGAAAAAAGGACAACCGCGTTGAAGCCAAAGCTTCACTTTGCCGAAACCCACTGCGAACCCCACATGAAACAATGGTACCGGGATCAAAAATGAGCATAAAACGTAGGTATCGTGTACCGCGCACCAACGACTGCTGCACCAAAACACACGAGTCTACATCCAAATTTCAACCTGCCGGGTTCAAGCAAAAAGGCAACCTGAACAGAACAAAAAACAAGTGGAGGTGTGTAGTATCGAAAGACAGGGCGAATGGATCAGCAAAATAGAACGCCCCTCCCTTCTCTTTTCAAGGGCAGTCGCACGGCCCAGCTTTTGAGCTGGCGACCTGCCTATTGCACTTGAAACCCTTTCTCATCCAAGTCGGCGTGCTCCCCAAATACCTTTTGAAGTCATTCCCAACCTCACTGCGCGCCGTTCAGCAAAGCACCTTCAACACACCAAGTAGCTGGCCACACATCAAACTAGGCTCGCAGCCCGAGCAATGTGGAGAGTTGTTCTCGATCCACCATCGCCTGCGTGGAAACGCGCAGCCTGCAATTCCAAATTTTGGACGCCTGTCACGCCTGACGATCACGTTGACCACGGCTCTGGCCACACAACACTGACCTGCTCAAGCTCTGCGCTGGATTTTGGCCCTTGTCAATTTTCTCTTGGTTCCCAACAGCAGATTTGGGGCTGGGCGTAGGGACCTTGGGTGCCTCCTGTCTACGTGGCTGGCGCGCAAAGACCTCCTGGCTGGGAACGGTGGGCGCTGTCAGGCGCCGCCGTGGAACCTGGGAATCCTGGGCGCTGCCATGTTGCAACCGTCAAACCTTCCAACCTTGGGCGCCGTTGCGCGCTGTGTTCAAAGTTCAGGTTCAAACAGCCACCTCGAAACGTCGTCAGGTGTAAGCTATTTCTGCGACAGCTGCAGTTTGTTTGCTCGTAGTAGTGTGCCATTTGTCGCCGCTACGAAGCAGTCCTTCCCAGCAGCGCAAACACGTTGTATGCAATGCGCAGCAAGGCTGCAGGCTGTTGCGCGTATACCTAGCAGGGCGGTTTTTTGCTAGTAGTGCGCCTCCTGCTTCGATTGCGTGGCTGTGGAGCTCCACGCCAATTTCTGAGACAATTGGATGCACTGCGACGCCAAAGGCTTTTTCGCTCTTAATGTACCATTTGTCACCGCTACCAAGCAGTCCTTCTTTGTGGGGCGCCTGCTGCCTCGGTTGCAATATGTGTTCCACACACCGTACAACTACGGTGTGGGTTCTACGCGCAGAAATGCCACAGGCAATTGGGTGTACCTAGGACCTATAGAGCAGGCCAGTTCAACAGTGGCAACAGGCTTTGCGCTGGTAGTGCGCCATGTGCCGCTGCTACGTCTTTCTATACGGCGCGTATGCGCAGCAAGGCCACGCACAGTTGCAAGCCGTTTCTGCGCCCCGAAAGCTTTTGCACTTGTGGCGCCTCCCGCCTTGTTGCGAAGCATTCTTTCTACACACCATAAAACTATATGTTTTTCGCGCAGCAACGCCGCAAGGATGTTTCGTCGCCCGCGCCAGCTCTTGCACTTGCAGCGTTCTACGCGCATCTTTGCCGCAGGAATTAGCAGCTTTTTCGTTCCCGTCGCCGGCGCGAAGCAATCTGCCTGCGAAGCGCAAAGCAAGTTGTGGGGGCAGCTAGGCCACAGGCAGCTGCGCATACCGCATGCCTAGCAGGACGTTCTGAGTCGGCAACAGCTTATGCGCTTGTGGTGCGCTTTCCGCTCGACCGTGGGCCATCATCCTGTTACGCGCGAATGAAAATTCACCAGACGCGCAGCAATGCCACCAAACATGCAGCTTGTTTCCTTCTAGTGGGCCATTTGTCGCCACTACGAAGCACTCTCTTTGCAGCGTTCCTCCTGCCTCCACTTTCCACGCTAAAAACTACAGAAAATGTTCAACATGCAGTTGCGCGGGCCCAGCAGCGCCCGCAACAGCTTTTGAACTTGTAGCGCGCCTTTTACGAAGCAGTCTTTGCGCGCATCGTGCAAAATGTTGTGCGCCGCAGGCAGTTGCGAGACGTTTCTGCGCTGGCTGCTGCGACGCAGCCATCAAATCTATGCGCAGGCCGCAGGGTCTATGCGCCGGGCTTGCGGTGTGCCTTGCGGCTCCGTTGAAAAGCACTCAGTCCGCGCTAGGCGCAGGCAGTTGCGGATACCTAGCAGGAAGTCTCCACGCCGTTGCACTTGCAGGGCGCGCGGCAAATTTGCGTAACTAGCCATTGGAGCTTCAGCAACACGTAGTCGGGGTGTTTGAACAGTTCCAATCGTCAATTGAATCGTTGCCCGCTGTTGGGTTGCAGAGCTGGGTCAATGTAGACAACTGCGGCCTGTTCCAAGACTCGCCGCACTTTGGGCAAGCTGTCCTCACACAGAACTAAACGCCATACAACGTCGTTACGTGACATTGAATTGAATGAACTCAAAAACAATTCTCCGTGAGCGCCAGCCTTGACACTCCTGGGAACTTATCACAGCCACTCATCAAAGCCTAGGCCAACAACACGCCCACAAGCACGTTGAGGCTGTGGGGCGCTCAAGCGCCACGAACCGCTACCGCTAGCCAACAAGTGGACTCCCATGCATCTGTTGCAGCCAAATGCGCACACCCAACCCGAAGACATACAAGCAGCTTTTTTTGGGACCCTACTCGTGCGACCTTTTGGAAATGGCATTTCGGCGCAGCGGGCACGGTACAATGGGCAATTTGAACGCTGCCTTTCTTTTTGCTGCCACGCAAAACGCTCTGCAGGAACTTCCACGAGCTTTCGCGGTTGGCGCTTAGATCCTTTAGCGGCAGTTACGAGAGCGCCTTCGCGGTAGAAATTGTCCACGCTCGTCTGTACGATCAACCATTATTAAGGCGATTGAACGGTTTAACTTCTACAGCATATTCGGGTGGTTGCACGAGGCGCTGCTCAATTTTTTGGGCGCCGCCATCACAAGCATTCGCAGGACCCAATCAGGACCCAGTGCTCTGCGCGCATGCCGACGGCTATCTCTTTTTGGGCAACAGCTGAGATGGTTTTCAACAGGGCAAGCCAATACCAGTTTGATAACCCCTATAAAATGTAGAGCGTAAACTTATACACATATATATATATATATCTGTGTATTCTATTTGCAGATCGCAAGGTGGACGCACGCAAATCAAGAACTTGACACGCAGGCGTTTTGTTTAAGGAGAAAAGGTGGCGAGCAGGTTATGAGCGCAAGGGTAAAGGTGTAAGACGGCCTCGCCAGCCGCAGCCCAAGCCTTGGCAAACCCATGGCGCTTCAGCGGCGGCGAACGCAGCCTGTCCGACATCTTCTACATGGAGCTGGAATGGCTGCACGACATGTGGTGGAGTTGGAATGACGGAGAAGGGATAAGACCACTGAGAAGCTTCCTCACTTCAAACTTCGGACAACAGGCGGTGGTGAACAAGGTGAGCCCGCGGACCCAAAAGCAAAAAGAAGCGCGCAACCCAGGAAAAATAAACGCGCTTGAGAAGGTTGCTCCGCGGAGCTTGTCTTCAGGCAATTCGCGGTGAGCATTAGCACTTTAAGATTGCTGCAAGTTAGACCTTGACTAAAGGAAGGTGCAAAGTCGGTCAACCAGAAGGTTTGAACAAATCGATTTAAACAATTCAAAGCTGGCGCAGGTACGTTCGGATGATCAGTCCGAATATCCCACTCAGTGACCTAGCTTCGTTGAACTGGGTCAGTCACAGAGTGCCCAGTTCCCCTGCTGTTGTTCTGTGCGAACATGAAAGATCCGGCTCAGGTAAAATAGATAGCTAGAATAGGTCCCTTCGAGACAGGGGTTGACACACACAGAAAGCCGAAACCGGCGCATCTAGCATAGATTGTCACGAGCGATCGAGTTGTTTGTTCAACAGGCTGTAGCAAGCAAGCTGACTTTTGGCTTGACGGGGCCGCAACGCGGCAGCGCAATGTTCTTTGGAGTAACCTTTTGTCGCATAGAGCTGCACCAACTGTTGTGAGGTAGTTTGCGCAGTGTGGGGTGGGTATGTATATTGTTGAAGGGTGTGGTGTCTGGATTGTAGGCCTGAAAGGCATAATCTGTGACTGCCTGCGGATTGTATGTCCCGTATCTGCCACGAGTGAGTGGGAAGTTGGAAGGTGACATTTCTGTTGAGTGGGTCTGTGTGGAAGCCGAGGAGATGGTCATCCTCGACCGGCTCGATTTCAATTGGATGTTCGTAAAATTCGGGGCGGGCAAGCGTTGTGATTGGTAATGATTGGCGGAAATGTTCGTTGAGTAGGATGTAGCGATTGTCAACGTATCGTGTGTTGAATAAGTGGAGGCTGGGTTGTTGTAGAAAAGTGAGATATGTGTGGCGCCAAGAATGTTCAATGAGCGTGATTGCTACGTTGCAAAGAGCTGGAGAGAGCCGGCTGCCGATGCGTGCTCCTTGGATTTGTTTGTAGTAGGAATTGCAGGCTTGAAAAATGCAGGATTGCAGTGCTTGTCGAACAATGAGTGGAATGTGTTGAGTGTCAAGTGTACGTTGTTGTGGGTGATGAATGTAGTGTCTGCCTATGTGGGAGTGTTGTATGGGGTTGCCCGTAGATTGAATGTCAATGGAGAGTGTGGTTGTGGGGCGTTGAGATTGCCAGCGTGTGCAGAGGCTGATGACTGCGTCGACTAAGCGTTGTTGTGGTACGCTGTTGAAGAAGCCGACGAGATCGTCATTGATGGCTGTGAGATGAATGTCATCAGGTGTGGTGTGGAAGTGTGTGTGGAGTTGTTTCCACAGGTTGGGGATGGAAAGCTGTCCTGGATGCTGAGGGAGGAGGTGTAAAAGCATAATGTCGAGCGCCTTGGATGTTGCGCGAAGGAGTGCGCCGGCGATGGAACGGAAATAGCTGATGACTGTGCGACCTTTTCGCCTGTGAAATTGTTTTCGGAAGCCCCAAGGGTAAGCTCGGCGGATGCTGGCTGGAAAAGATTGGGCAAGAAGGGTGTGTAGCTGCTCTTGTGTGAGGTGGGGTAGTGGTTGAAATAGTTGTGGCGTGTTCCAAGTAGCGAGGCAGCCGTGGAAGTAGTGCTGTGGACAGAAAATGCGGAGGTTCTGTAGCTCGTGATCTGCATGGTGCAGGACTAGTTTGTCTGTGAGAAATTGTTGAAGTTGTGTGACATTGCGGGAGGTGAATCGAGGTGTGTGGTGTAGGCTAGTAATGTGCTGTTTCCACTGATGTTGCAGGAAAGTCTGGCAGTGTTGGTGTAATTTGGGTAGGCCGTGGTGTCGAAGCCATTGCGCTAGGGTGCTATGAAAGTGGTGAAAAAATTGTGTCTTGGTGGGAAAGTAAGTGCTGTTCATGTTGGCTTGTAGAAAGAGGTGAAGGTGACAGGGAAGTTGAATGTCTTCGAGTGTGAGGACATAGTGGCCGTCGTGCGTGGGAGTGTGGTCAGGATCTTTGAGTAGTGTGCGCAAATGCGAGCAGCTGCAAGGCATGTCTGTGGCGGTGGGGTGTGTGGTGAAGTGATCTTCCCACTGCTTGTGGTTGTACAATCGTGACCGCAAAGTCTTGTGTGCGGCTTCACGGAGTTTGGTTGTGGGTGGGTGAAAGGGAATGATGTGGTGGATGTGGTGTTGTACGAGAGTGCGAAGCCATTTCTCGGCGTCGGACTGGAAATTGGTGTTTGCCAGAAAAGGAATGGTGAGAAGTTTGTTTGTTTTGGGTGTGGTGAGGTTGCGGAAAGTGAGAGCTGAGTGTAAGAGATGTAGTACGCGGGAGCGATCAGGCTCTTCAAGGCTGGGCTGGCATGCGGCGAAAAGCATAGATTTCAAGGTCAGTGTATTTGCCGCTGCGAATGGCGGTGGAAGTTTCAAAGGATGAGCGCGTGTGTTTGCTGAGTTCTTGGAGAACGGTGAGAGCGTGTAGGCGTTGGCTTGTGTGTAGAGTGGGTTGTTTTATCGTCCGTTGTCTGCGTCGTAGTCTTTGAAAAAGGCGTTTGTGAGTAGCCATGCGGGTGAAGTTGGTGCGGTGTTTGGCAAATTGCCAGCCTGATGCTTTCAAGTGGAGTGGCGTTGGATGTATGGCCAGTTGAGAGTGGGTTGCCAATCTTGAATGCGCAGGTGTTCGTAGGTCCATGCTTGATCGTAGGTGTCGTGATGGGGGAGGCAAATGGTGCTGTAGTGGTGGAGATTGTTCTTGGAGTGCCAATAGCGGAGGGGCAATTCCGCTGATATGGGGTGGTTGTTTTGCAGTTGTTTGAGTTTTGCACGGCGGTTGTATTCACGTTTTGGTATACTGATGCTGGTAGAGCCGATGTATGTGTGTCCGTGTTAATGATATTGATGTTGGTTGTGGCGCTGGTTGAAAAGGAGCTTTGCGTATACTCCTTTGGGTTGAGTGTAGGTGTGTGGTGTGACTTGTAGTTGAGTGAGGCGTGAACGCCATTTGATGGAGGGCTGTGTGGAGGAAGGGAATGCAAAAAGGCAGGCGAGGTGAATAAGGCTGATGGTAAAGATGGCGTAAGATTGGTCAATGTATGGTGTGAAGTGTACAAAGTGTGAAAGTGCTTTGTGGAGGGTGGTGAGGTGTTGAAGAAGGGTGTGGTTGGGTTGGCGCTGTGCTTGATATGCGAGTCAAGCGGCTAATGCTGAGCCAGCGGCCACCAGTTGCTGGAGTGATTTGGGTGGCAACTTCAGGACTCGAGTGAGAGGGAGTCCGTACTTGGTGGCGGCTTCTTGTAGCTGCTCTTTGCTGATGCGTTCATCACGGAGAATCTGTAAGATGTTGTTGGCTTGTGTCTGAATGCCTGGTGGTAGAGTTTTCATCAATTTTTGGATGCCTGTGCCTGCAAAGTTTGCCGGAGAGTTCTCCTGAAGTGTTTGTGAGGTGGGGTTGAGAATGGAGTGTGAGGTTAATGCGGTGGGCGCTGTAAGGGGAAGCGCTGGTTGCGAGGCTGATTCAGTGGTGCCAGTGGCGCCTGGTTTTGTGGGAGTGAGTGAAATGCCATGGTTCTTGAGCTTGTCGCGAGCACGCTGTAGCTCAGTCTCTTGTTGGTGCAAGCGGTCTGTCTGCTGCTGGAGTTTGCGAAGTGCTGTGCCTTCGCCTGCTGGAGGTGTGAGTCCACGCAGAAAATCGGTAATGCGTGAAATCGTTGCATGAATGTTTGGCATCTGTGGTTTTGTTGGGGATGGGTTGGTGGGCTTGTTGGTGTAAATATTCCGCAATGTTGTCGATGTCCAAGTTGCGGGCACGAATCTCAGTAAGAAGTTGGGAGGTGAATACCGCCTCTGCGATAGATCGAGTGGCGACAACGCCGGTGTAGCGGCCTTGGGAAAGGGTGCGAATGCTCTGGTCCTGTAGGCCAAAGCGGCTGAGCTGCCAAGGAAAGATATCCAGAACCGGCTGTCCTGCGAGGTTGTATTTCCTGGACCATTGTGTGGGCTGTATGGTACGAAAGAGAGTTTGTCCATGTCCAGTGTTTGTATCCCAATCAGTCTCGCTGGGAGTCCAAGTGTCTGGGATGTTGGGTGTGTTGGGTGGGACATATGCCAGTGGTGAAGTGGGGCGTTGTGCCGTAGTGGGCGGTGGTGGAAGTGGTTCGGGAGGGAACGCTGGGTTGAGTGGCGGTGAGGTTGCTGTGTTGGAATCGGTAGCTGGTGCTGCAGGTGTGTGGTAAGGGTGTTGGTAATGGTGTCGGACTGCATTGGTAAGCGGTCCCTAGCCCGCGCTTGGAGCCGCGGTAGAGTAATAGTGCTGCCACCATAGTTGATGTGGATCCATGGTGGAGACATTGCTGCCCACGGTGCAAAAGTGCAACAGTGCAACGCTGCAGTGTTTGCTGGTTGATCAAGGAGCGATGATCAAGCCACTGTGGCTGGCGGGTGATCTTTGGAAGTTGGAAGTTGGAAAGTCACTTGAATCGACTGATAAATCAACAAGGCAATAAATTACAGGGCCATGTGGATCGACTCATAGATCAATAAAAGTTCAACGGTGAATGCTGACAAGGGAAAATCGTATGAGCCGAAAAGGAAAATAAGGTCAGTTGTCAGCTTCATGACAAGATCTAGGAAAAAGTGAAAAAGAAAATGAGACAAGCGTTGGAACGCCACAAGCTGAAATGCCACACAACTGGTTCAAAATACACAAGATGAGCAGAATCAAAATCAGTGCAAGCGGTTTTTCGTGACTAGTCCAAGTAAGTTGGTCTGTACAGTGAAAAAACCGAGACATCTGGGAAATTGAAAACCCAATTGAATTGAATGGCCCTAATAAGACTGCCAATAGAGCCTCAGTCGTAGATTTGTGTGATCTGGCAGTGATAGGCAATCTCCGTGCGCTGCTCGTCATTGAAGTCCTGAATTGTAGTTAGGGAGCGGATCCGGTAGCGTCCCACCAGGGACCGTGTGGTCCGGTGGCTGCTTCTGGGTGATTGGGGCGGATGTTTGTTGGATTGGGAATGAACATAAACTGTTGTGTGGTGGATGCTGGCTGTACGGTGTGTGGGATAGCTGCAGGAGTAAGTGTGGCGTGTCCTTGTAGTAGAATCTGAAGACTGTAGAGTTGCGTTGGGTCGCACGGCTGAGGTGTGTTGGTGTGTGAGGGTGATGGGAAGAGGTTGATGGGTCGTGGTGGTGATACACAACTAACTGTTTGCAGCTCGCAGACAAGTGTAAGATGTATGTGGGCGTTGTGCTGGTGCAAGACGTTGGAGGTTGTCTGAAAGTGTTGATGAAGTGTGGGTTGTTTGAGGGAAGTCAGGTGTGGCAGGTGGTGGAATGCTTGCGCTGGCAGGGGCAGGTGGTGGGTTGGTTGCGTTGTGTGGTGATAATGTTGGTCGTGTGTTGTCTGGTTGTGTAGTGTGGGTGGGGTTGGGGTGAATGAGGTCTGCTTGTGGTACGCTCATCGGCAGGGTCTGGTGGTATAGGCTGTGTGCCTTTGCCTTTGCCAGTGGCTTCCACATGTCCAAGTGCTGCTGTCAAATCGTCGGTTGCGTGATCAACAAGAGCACGAATGCGCAGAATACGGCCAAGCAAGGGTTGTGAAAGGTGTGGATAAATTGAATCGTCAAAGTACATTGTTTGTTGTGGGGAGTGAAGTTGCTCGCGGCTGTGGTGTAGTCCGAGTCGAAGGCTGTGCTGTGAAGCGTAAATGCCATAAAGGTGGGCTGCCGGAGTGTTGTGAGTCCAATGCCGAAAGGCGGCTTCCATGGTGAACAGAGTGAGAGGATGAAATTGCTGATGCTCAGTAAGTTTGAGTTGAAAATAGCTGTGTGGAGAAAAGCAACGTGGAATATGTGAAAGGCTCGCAAGTTGATGAGGTTGTAATGCTGTTGTGTATTATGGACAAGTAGTCTAACAGTGAGCATGGCTGTGATCGACAAATAGTAAATACTGTACTCAATACCGGTGCTTGCAGTCGAATTAGGACATGCAACATGTATGATGAAATAAATGAACAAGTTGGGTGATTGAATAAGCAACGAGAAGTGGACAATGCATGGTTTTGCCGAAGAAATTGATTTGGCGAAACCTAATGGGTGAAACATTCTGATGCTATTGATCAGATCGAGTACGTGCCTGTGTCCATGGAGCAAACCAATCGTATTATACCGACTGATAGTCTGAGGAAGAATAATCGTCAAAAATGTGGGATGTAAGCTGTGGTGAAAGGGTGAACTCAGGTTTGAGACACATGTTTGCTCTATTGGCTAGTAGCCGCTCATGCTTCTTGGGCTCCGTCTGGTCGTCGAGGGTGTAGCGGTCGGTGTTTTGGTTGAAATGGAGGTTGTTTGGGCTGGACTGACTGGAGTGAGAGCATCGGCCGCGCGTGTGGTGAGATTGGAGGTGCTTTGGGTGGTGGTGGTGGTGGCCGTAGTGGTAATGGTGGTGTGGGATGTGGTGGTGAAGTGGGTGGAATGGTAGCTGTGGTGGGTGTGCGATGGTGTACCGGTGCAGTGTTGGATGTTGTTTTGTCGGAAGTGGATTTTTGGAGAGCAAATACACTGTCGCTGGTCTCCTCTGTGGGGTTGAGTTGTTGTGGTGGGGAGCGACATGTCGCGGGAGACAAAGTGCGAGAAGCTCTGGAGGAGTGTCGAGAAGTGGGTTGCTGGTTGGCGGTGGTGAGAACGTGATTTGCTGTGTGGACGATGAACGTCTGTAGGATCTGGATCGTGTAGTGTGGCGGTGGTGGCGGCGATGATGGTCGTGTCGTGAGGTGGTTGGATTGGAGATAGATCTGCTGTGGGTTCGTTGACGAGCTCGCCGGATGTTTTGTGAGTGTGCTGGCGCTGGTGTCGGTGGACGTGAGTACGTGAGGGAGAATGGCATCTGTGTTTGTGTGGTTGTTGTCTGGAGTGGTGTGAAGCCGTGCGAGTGGTGGAACGGTGTGTGGTGGGTGGCGGTGAGGTAGAATGGTGCTTGGATGGTTTGAGTTGAATAAGTGGGGTAACGGTGGGCTTGTGTGTGGTGGGAGCTGAGCGGCGTTGGCAGTTGGAGCTCAACGTCATTGGCAGCTCTGGGTGTCAACACTGCTTTCCTCTATGCACCTCTATGCGCGGTGGAAGAGAGCAAGAGAAAGAAGTTCCTGGCCATCGAAGACCGAGAGGAAGAAGCTCAGCAGCAAATGAGATCGACCCAAACCGAAGGAGGAAAGGACCTTGTGGCAGATCTTGGAACTAAGATGATGGACATGCTGGCAGTGAACTGGGGGCGACAAGCAGGAAGACAAGGCGGAAGAGGACTTGTCAAGCGCTTGTGGGTTGAGAACCTCATCGCGACTGCCCAGAAAGTTCCACTGAGACTGTGGATGAAGAGGGTGAGGGAGCTCAGGCGCCCTACATCTTCGGGCCGATAATGGTGATCCTTCGGATGGTGTTGACGACGGTGCTTCAGCGCTGCAAGAAACTCCGGGTTGGAGGAGAGAATCAACCTGAAGTGACCCTGCGCTCCACGCGCGCCGGAGAGGGGACTACGTCGTCCTCACCAGCATCTATGAAGGGAAAGGCAGACAACAGCGCCCGTAGGCATGGAAGGGATTCAGTGGCGAATCCAACGAGCTTCAGCCAGCAGTAGCGCTGGTCCAACACGTCAGGATCGCAGTGGAAGGCGCAGGGAGGTTGAACCGGAACTGCAGACGCTGTTGGTGGACGAAGGAGGAGGGCGGTCTATGAACGGCAGTGGGAAGCTTGGTTTGCTGAGTCTGGACAGCGCTTCCATTGAAAGAGAGACTGCGGAGGGCTAAGAAACGCCAGCAGGACTCGACGCAAGCCAATCTGCAGAGCATGCCAGAGATTCATGCAGGTGCAGCGACCCTACGACCAAACGGCCTTTCTTTCCGAGGATGAAGTGGGAAGCCCACACCGATGCGGGGCGGCGTTGGAAATTTGCCACTGCAAGGCGCGCGCACTTCGCACCACCCGATGCCATGACTTGACGGCTGGAAACCAAAAAGGCCGTTTTCCAAGGAAGGGCTGTTCCCATGTGCTCAAGGAAGCAGGGAGGAGTGCAGATCGCAAGGTCGATACGCGCAAATCGAGAACTTGACATGAAGCCGTTTTGTTTAAGGAAAAAAGGCGGCGAGCAATATCAATATTAGCAAGTCACGTGTACAAATAATATCAGACCGCATATATAAAATTTGCTCTGCGTTGCGTTATGGCCATAAACTTGCAAAGACTGCTCAGGGGGCAACGTTGAAACAAGAGGCGTGTAGTTCATGTCCGCACGTTCGCAGCCTTAAATACGCAGGCTTGCAAGTGTTTGCAAAATAAGTGGCGCGCGATGTCCCACTCCACAGCCCCGCCCATCCTCTTTTGAAAGTTCTTTTGAACGGAACTGTTTGCTTACAAATGAAAATTCCACTGCGCTACAAGCTTTGCCTTACGCAACCAGTCTCAGTTTGCCTCAGGCCAGCGCAAGCAATTGCATAACCCGCCGTCTATTCCACGCTAAATGAAAATATCAAACTTGGCATCCTGCTTGAGGCGGCGCCTGCAAAGCCAACAGGAGTCACGCCCAGCCTCACACACTATCACTGGACACTCTCACCGGCCACGCTGCACAGTCACAGCCCTCTTCAGCTGCACCTCTGCGGGGGGGACCGCTTCCAAGAAGAACCTTAAACACTAGGCAATCATTCGCAAAATACCGATATCAAGCTTCCCCCTGGCGTCCTGGGTGCCCTGCTTGGCGTGGGCCCGAGCAGCAGGAGCAGCGCCCAAAGGAGCCTCGCTGAATCTCAAAAAGCAATGTCTAAATCTGAGCGCGCGCGGCCCCGACTACAGAGGCCAAGTGTCTCGAAACATTAAATCCACACATATTTTTAAAAAGTAAAATTTAGGACCAGCGGCGCAGAAGAAAATCGGGAGAAGAAGCAAGTGAAGCCTAACCTCCCTCGTTGCGCATCTGCCAAAACACCCGTCCCTGCGCTCGTCACGGTGGGTAAGTTCAAGTTCGTCAGCCCCGCATGGTGGCCAAGAACAACCTCACAAAATATAATGTGGAAGACAGCAAGTCCTGGGCCCTGGGCGCAAAGATTTTGCTTATCTCACAATGAATTTAGTGTGAGGTCTGGGGGCTTGAACTTGTTGATGAAGGTGAGCAGAATTCAGGCGGCCCTTCACCTTACACTAGCCGAGGCGGAGCCAACAGGCTCAGCAGCTTCATCCTGAGGAATCTCCTTGTGCTTCCGGGCGCTGTGAGAAGGCCTTTGGTGTGCTGCTTGCCTCCATCGCGGAATCTCGAGGGCGAGCCGCGCAGGAAGTAGGCGAAGAGGTCGATAGGGCGTACCAGGGCGCATCTCATCTACACATCCAGAGTTTCGGGTCTTGGCGCCCTTGTCCTGAGGTGTCAAGTCACCCACCTGCAAGGCAGGTCTGGCCGGCGGTGCCCAGGATCTGTTCCTCTGGGGAAGCGCGCCCCAACCACTAGGCCAAGCTGGCACGCAATTGTGACTAGTGAAATGTGTACTCAAGACACTGCTTTCAACACGTTGGGACAATGGGGGGGTTGCCCGGACTGCCACATGCAAAGGACTTTTTGGCTTTCGCGGCACTCAACTTATCGTCTTGGAGTTCACTAACTCCAAGAGGATAACTTGAATGCATCTTTAAGACAATCCAAAAACCCGTGAGCCCCGTCCTCGAGTCTCTCCCGTCCTCCCACCTGCTCAATGACCTACACATCCAAGAGTCCTTTGCGCCGCAAACATCACATGCAAATTGGCTGGTTTGGCTCAAGGTGCTTAGAGCCCGCTTACCCCCAAGCTCGCCAAGCAATCAAATGTTGTATGCTGCGTCTGACTTGTCTCACTACTACTCGACAATTCCTTGCATAATGTCCTCGTTCCGTCAAGACCTGTAACAAATGCGGGTTCATTGCATCCTTGCTTTTGCCGTTGTCTCTGTCTTCTTGTTTTTGCTGTGCGCCTTCTTTGTCTCTAATTTATGCGCCATATGAACCACACCCGCTTGGGACACCTGAAGACTGCAGAGGCGTTTAAATCCTCACTTTTGGTGGCGCTTCACGTTGACCAATACTCTGGGCTCTGTTTTGGGTTTGGATGTATAGTCGCGAGCCGGTTAAACACTTGAGCGCAGTTGCGTTGCTTCAACTACGTTCAAGGCCCCCCTGTGGAAACTGGAAACCATATCGCCGTATAAGTTGAGACCCTTGCAATGCTTGTGCTGGTACATTCACTTCAGCTCTTGTTGCTTAGGAAATGCTCTGCAAGATTCGGCGCACTCAAACAAACAGCAAAAGCACCTCAAACTATCTCAAGTTGATACTCGCCTGCAGCGATCTCAGCCTCACACAGCGGCTTCTCGACGCACGCTTATGCAAAGACGCGACAACCACACCGTTTAAACATTCGACAACATTAAAGCAACGTCGATATCGATCAACATGGCAAAACTGCACTCGGCTTGGAAACCCTCGCCTCAAATTTGCTTTCGGCGGCGGTGAGGGTGTATCTTGGCGCAATGTCACAGGTCATAGAAAGATCACAATTTCTTCTAAGCCCTATATCAGCCATTAGTTGCATTGGAAACGAGTTGAAGTCCAAACATAATCCGCGCAACCTAGCATCATCTGCCCAGGTCTCACTCTGCCTCCCGAGGCCAATGTCTAGAATGCTGCCAGGTGCCGGAGAAAAGGAGAAAAACTCGCCTGAGAAATCAGAGATTGCTCCATCTTGACTCGCCTGACTCCTTCTTTCAAGGAACACTAGCAAGCGAAGCAGCACCAAACTCATCTGATCTCTCCCGAGTTCACTCCTCTCCGCGCAAGCCTGAAGAGCTGTGAGCTCATGTAAACAGGGCAAGTGTCACGCAGCCGCTTATCTGTGATTAAGGAACGCAATGCGCGCATCAAGAACGCAAAAGCCTCGAAAGCTGGAGAAGGTATTGCTGATCGCAAAGTGCGCTGGATGTTGCCTTCCCAAAACATGCACCGGCCCCGCCGCAAACTGCGGTGAAGTGCGAGTCTCACTTCCAGCCAGAATAACATTGAATGAAGGACCAGTGGCAAAGTTTCTGATTTGGCCCACCTGCCAACTATCTCTGGCATAACCGGGGGAGGGAAGTTTCAAGGAAACCTACAGGGAACTGTTGTCATTAGTAAGTGCGACATTGTGAGGCGGCGATTTGCGAATTGAGTGCGAAACTGGTGACCTGTGGTGTGGAGTGTGCTCTTTCTACATGGGAATTGTCTGGCTTCCTGCATGGAAAAACCGTTCTGTGGACCCTCACGTGTTTACTACAGTGCGACGTTGCCGTTGCCTTGAGAAAACAAACCTGCCGCAGGGAAAACATCAATGACCAAACTCGTTGTATCGCCCATCTGCAACCCACAACAGCATGGGATCTGGGGTGTGGGGTTCATTGTCCGGACGAACGGTGCGCATCATGCGTCCGCTATTACGTTGCAATTGTCTGACATAAAACTCTGAGGTATATGTGGATTCAGGGCCATCAAGAGTTGCCAGCGATGCAATTTCGCATGCTCATGTCAAGTCTGAAATTGCAGCGCAACCATCGGGAATGCCCACCTGCAACTTACTTCATTGATGGCTTTAGGTCACTGTCCTAGTGGCAGATTACCCGCGGATGTTATCTCATGCTATGGTACCTGGTGTACGTTGCCTCATTGTTTGGACTTATGGCACCTGGTATCTCACATACCCTCTGGCTCCTTTAGTCTGCCTCTATCGCTTAGCCTGCAAGATTCATTGTTCTTCTTCGCGCGCACGCTTTGGACATCCAGGCCTGTCCAGTACCTGAGTCACAAGCCAAAACAGGAGGCAATTAATCAGAGGTGAAATGAGCCCACAACACAGACACGAAGTCATCCACTATTGAGACCAGCTCCTTGGGTGCCTTGAGTGTGCATCAGTTGATAGCAGAACACATGTTAAATGCAATCACTACTGGCTGAGGCTTTGGGCTGGACTCTCTGTGACCTTCAAAACATGGTCCAAGTATTTGCACAGGCCTGAGGTTCACTCTGAAGCAATCTCAATCAAAACCAAACAAGTCATTGCACCTCAAGAAACAAACTGATCAGGTTTCTCTCTTGTTGACTCTTGTTGATCAGCTGCCAGAGTCCAAGGACCCCTGGCCCAACGAGCGCTCAGCAACAACATCATCTCGTCCGTCTGCTCCGATTCGGTACGGCCTTGAACTGCATTGAATCCGTCTGCCAATTTCTTTGGAAAGTGGACAGATTCTCGTCTTCGTCATCTTCATCTGTATCACCCCATCCAGCAAAGGCGCGCAAAGTGTGACAGAGGCTGGAGGCCTGTGAACGAGAAAAACAACATATATAACGCCGCAAACAAGCGAAATCCAAAAAATAACTATTCCGGCAAGAGACAGTGCGTTTAAAGGGGTTAGAAGCAGAAGGTCTAAAGATCTAGACACATTGGGTTCCAGAGAGAGGTGATGGTGGTGATGATGATGGCGGTGATGAAGGTGGTGATAGTGGTGATGGCGGTGGCGGTGATGGTGGCGGCAATGAAGGTTGTGTTGTGATGATGGTGATGATGGTGGTGGTGGTGATGGTGGTCGTAGCGATGGCAATGAGGGCGGCGATGATGGCGGGGATGGTGGTTGTGATGACGGTGGCGATGGTGGACGAGGTGGAAGGTGGCGATGGTGGTGGCGATGGTGATGATGGCGGTGATGATGGTGGTGATGATGGTGGTGATGGCGCTGGTGGTGGTGGTGGTGGTGGTGGTGGTAGTGAATTGCTGCCTCCCCCGAAATCTACACTGCAAAGTCCACAAGCTACTCACCCGGAACGCTGCACCTGCCACGAAAGCTTCAAGGTCCACAAAGCACAGCGCCTCGAGTCGCAGCAAGAGAACTTGTAAAGACAACGTGCCAAAACGCGGCTTTCGCTCGAGGCTTCCTCCGATAAATGAGAACGAGCCACATGTCCAAAAGCCACGACTCACTGCGCCCAAGCCAAAGTACTGCGCACGCCACGAAATCTGTACGTCCACGTAAAACCGCTCCGATCTCCTGCACCTGTCGCGAAAAGTCAATATTGGACCACCAAAACACGAGCCAGATCCTGCAAGCCTGCGCAGTCAAAATGCACTTCGAAGATCTCGACGCGAACGAATGTATTGTAAATAGCTGCGAATTAGCCAGGCACGGATGCGACCACCTTGATCATACACCCGCCCGTAACTCTTACCATTACCATAAGAAACCCCAGCGTTACAACAAGGTTTGGGGAACTAGCCAGCGATTGGAGGGAACCAGGCGCAGCAAGCGCAACGAAAGTGAAAGCAACGCTTACTTTACTTCAGAATCTGTTTGTTACGCTTGTTGGTAGCCTTTTTTGTGAGTCAAATGCGCACACCAGGGTCCATGAAAACACTAGGACCTCCAGGGGTCTCAAACGTCGACTCTCACCGACACCAAGGGGCTCGAGGTGGGGTGGGAGGGCTGGGAGCCATAGCGCTCGAGGAAAAGCGCGAGCCATCGGGTGGGCTGCGGAGGAGCGGCGCTCCAACCTTTTGGGCAAGGTGCATTCCTTTTTGGTCGTGTACTTCTTGAAGCGCGGCTTCATAGGAAACGGGGTATCAACCTTTCTTCATTGGGGTTGGCCCGCTACCAATTTCACATTGGTAGCGGAGCCTGTTGCTCCGAAGAGTGGGATCCAGGGCTTCGCTGACCAGTGTGACGGTCGTCTTCTTGCGTTCGAACGAGCGTTATAACCGGACACCGTTGACAGTTCTTGCACTGCGAGCTGACTTCTTGATCTTGCATAGCGGGGTTGAGGGCTTCACAACATTGACATTGATTGTCGCGCGCGTTGCACTGTTGATTGTACATTACCGGGGCGCGTCGCAGCTTGCTGTTGTGCATTGAGCAGCTGACACATTGTTCTTTCCTGGTGACGAGTGTCGAGGGTCGACATTGTTGCTTTAGACATTAAAGCATTGTGTTGAGTTGTGAGTTGCTACGTTGAGCATTGAAGGCAAGACGCCTTTTGTCGGTCGGTTGAAGCAATGCCTCCACCAGCGACGACTCATATATCGCCAGGTCGGAGGTGCATTTTGAAGAGCTGCTTGCAAGGGGCACCACCTTGGAGGAGATTCGGGCGTATGTCCTGTTACAACAGTCGACATTGTCGCCCGATGACCGCAAGAAGATTGTTTGAGATCAGGGTGGCAAGCTGACATATCCCGAAGTCACCAAGGCAATTCGCTTGCTTGGCAGCCGATTTTTCCAGGATCTGCAGGGCAACAAGAGCTCCAAGACCAAGGTTTATGATGTCAATTTGACTGAATGTGATAGCATGTGAAGCATTGGTGACGTACATTGATGCGAGACAGAAGTTGCAGGACAAACGAGGATTTTGGCCGGCGCAGTCGAGTTCAAATCACTAACTCCAAAGGAGGAAAGAAGGGTAAGACTGCGAAGGGAGGAGGCAAAGGAAAGAAGCGAGAACAGCTCTTGGCCCTGTCGCAAGATCACATTGTCGTGCTTGTGGAGAACGTGGGCATTGGCGAGCTGAGTGTCCAAATCGTGCCAACTCAAGCGCAACTCAGACTCGCAAGAGTGCAAACCTGGCCGAAGCATCCTTTGACACAGGCATTCCACCCATTTTGGAAAGCTTGTCGGATACAGCGGAAGATGTCTTGGAAGTGTTTTCCGATGCTTCTCAGGCCAGCGTCGATCGACCAACCATTTTCGAGAACATGGTTGAAGGGAGTATAAGGTAGGTCTATGTTGTAGTCCTGGGGGTTCAGCCACTGCCTTCGTCATTCAATGTTCGAGTGAACAGCGCAGCAAATTGACTAAAAAGGCGCAAGCATTTTGCCACCGATTCCGAAAGCCAAATCCAAACTCGCGCAACTCGAACGCCACTCGTCCGCCCAGGAATGAAGAGAGGCCAGAATCCCTGCCAAGCGCGATGGACAATAGCTTCCTCGCTTTGAGTGATCACCAGGCTGATCAGGATCGCAGGATTTTGATCGAACTCTTGCGGCGCAGGTCGTCCTTGGCAAAGCGACTCGCATTCCAGGATCCTTGACCGGCGATGAAACCACCAGCGCACATGCCTTTCAAGACGATGTTCCAGAAACATCGAACCTCCATGAAACATCACTCGGAGAAATGAAGCCCGAATAGTCTTCTTAGACGCAGATAACCATCAAGCTATTCGACGTGCCCTGTTACGAAGACCCTGCCCAGTTCGAGGATCCTTTCAGGCCAGGACAGTCAGTCATGTACTGGTTTCGCCGAAAGAATGTCTCTCGAGGCGAGAGTGGTCGGTGGTATGAACCTGCGCGTGTCATTCAACAAGAGGATCAATCAACTGTTTGGCTGAGCCACCTAAACCGCATGATACGATGTCCCCCTAAAAACATCAGGCCCATATATGTCCCCTCGAGAATGGGACCAGAACGAGACCCCGAATCCCTTGGCAGACGCGCAGCCCGAAAGAGAAATTACCCCGAATATACCACTCGAATCAACGGAATTGCCTCCGTCAACGGATGACCCTCCAGGTCCACGTGAAGAAGACACTAAGCAGAAATGGCAGAAAATGAAGAAGAACATCCCTTTGATTTTGCTGAATTTGCGCAAACAGAGCTGGAACTGCTCATCCAACGCCATCAAAGTGAACTCGCGGAACCGACTGACCATCGAACTCAAGACCTCTTACTGTGCATACGAAACGTGTGTCTCGGCCCCCGGTGATGCAGGGGCAGGCCACGCGAAAACGCGAAAACTGCGAAAACGCGAAAACGGCCAAAAACGCGAACACGGCGAAAACGGCAAAAACGCGAAAACGCGAACACGGCGAAAACGCGAAAACGAAAGTAAGAGCCTGTTGGAGTGGAGTCAGAAAAGCATGCCTGAGATTGATCTGGGATTGGAGGTTGTTGTCTTGATGTTGACGATTCGGGAATGGTGGTTGTCACAACGACTATTATAAAACTAGTGCTTGGACTTATAGGGTATATAAATTATACCCCCCAAAGATCGACCATTTTTATTTGTTTCACGGTTGTGGATGCT